TTATTGGGGACCGATGGGCCATCATTCAAGGGAGGGGGCTGCGCACAAGGAGAGAGGCCTAAATTTGTTCCTTGTGATTGAGCATGCCTTAGAGAGTTTATAGTAGGAGTCAATACCCTGTCGGCTTTTACAGTTAAACTATTCTTCCCATGCTGTCCTTCTTCTGGTACTACGTTACAGACCAAAGTGTTAGGATTTTTCCTTATCGACCTCATATCCCGATTTTCCTGAGCTACTGGACTGACTTCCCTTGAGAGTGCAGGCAGCACCTGAACCGCAGCTTTTGTTGGACGATCCAAAACATTCGCAACGTCTTCTTCAACTCTTTGTGAATCCTCTTCTTCCTTGTTCTCTTGAAAAAGTACCTCTGTACCCAAACTGTCTTCATCAAAAACGTTCCTCGAGCTGCTCAGATCAATGCTCCCTAGACTTGCTGTATTTTCTGAATCAGTATCACTTGAAACTTCCTCCTCAGAGCACTCATAGTGCTTCCGCTCCTCAAGATCACTTCGCCTGATACTCCTTGGATTGCGTTTTTCCGGCGACATTCTGTTTGATTTTTCTGACGCAATCCAGTGTAAGGAGTACCCAGGAATAGCGAACTTCGCTCTTCGTGGTTTTTGGGCCGTTGTGCTCAATGAAGAAGAAGATAGATGGTGTTTACCATCTATTGACTCCACCCCCTGGTCATGTGACCTTTTAAAACCCTTTTGGGCCCCTTTGATAGGCTGGTAATGTTCGGCCCATATACTGTTTTAGTATGTTGTTCCCCCTGTCCCTTAGATAGGCCCAAAATGATTGGTCCACTATTAATTTTATCCCTCCTTTTATTATTTGGCCCAAATTTTTGAACGGGGTCCACCTCTTTGAGAAGGCCCATTCACAATTATCTGGCCCGGATTGGGTAGAGATTGGGCCCTATTCATTTTAAAGGGATCCAACGTTTCAGCTCCCCTAATCTCTGCCCCCTTCTCACCTTTTGTCATTCGAACAGGTGTATTTAATGTAGAATCTTGAACGCCATGTTACTGCTAATGCGTATGATCTGTCAGGTACCCAGTTAATGCCTTGTTGGTCACGTTTGTGACTTTCCATATTCAGCAAAGCTTTTGAATTTCTAACATCTTGCTTGCCCTCTTTTATGTAACTGTATCTTCCTTGCAGGTTGACCAATCCCTTACTGCCACGTAAGGTTTCTTCTTCAACCTTACCATCTTCCTCCCTTCGAGCTTCCCTCCACATTTCAGCTTCAATGGAGGAAGTCAACCAGACCTCCATGAAAGCTCCTTCATGGGAATCTCCTCAGGCTGCCACTCTCAGGTTCACTTTCCTGGGAATCCCCTCAGGCTTGACACCATTTAATAAGATTGCTGCAGACCTGAGATCTCCCCAGAAAGCACCAGCCAGTCTTGCTCCACACAGTGTTGCGATGGCTTTTGCTGTTTCATCCTTCCACAGATGGAAAGGTAGACCAACCATGCGTACTTTAACTCCATCCATTACCGAAGATTCCTTCGAGTTTGATGATGGAGACCACCTGAATATGTTCACCGAACCCAGGTTATCTTGCAAACACACAGCCTCAATTTCTGGCTTATTATCCAGAGGATCTAGCAAAGCTTTGCCCCCATCAAAAGGAGTTAATACATATGTGGTCGTCGTCCTTAACTGTTTTGTCACCAAATCAGCAATCTCCTCCCAATTTCTACCTGGTTTATCCAACTTCAACAATCGGTTTGTTGGACCACTCTCCTTTTGCCGCAGATATCAATAATGCTGTTCTATTTCCATCTTGCACTAAGGTCGGGGCCAAGTTGTTGGGAGGCTCAAGGTTCACTACTGTCTTCAGGATATCCTCTCTTACCTTTTTTTTCCAAACCTTTTTCCTTTTTCATTTTCATTCTAGATATAAAGTCTCTCAGAGCCTTGACAATTTCAGTCCACCCTTGGCTATTCCTTCCTTCTGGAAAGCAGACCATCTGCTTCCTAGTCTTGTCATATTGCTCTGAAAGTGTTATGAAGAATCATTTGTGGTTTTTCCTGCATTCCACCACATACCTCCTTCCCACCTCTGTTAGAAATTCTTTCCAGCATCTGTCCTTTCCTTTTGCACTCGCTGCAACTGCAAAATCTATTAACCATTCTACCACATTTCAGTCCTACCAACAGCACCGTAGCCGGCTTAGCTTCCCTGATTTTCAAGCTAATCTGCCCTCTGATTCTAAGTTCTTCCAGCAGAAAGTTCTTCCCCTCCACCTTGAGATACTTTCTCCATCGATTGGCCTCCACAAAGTTCTTCGCCTCCATTCCTTTCCTGGGAGGTAGATATTTTCACACCACTGCCAACCCACCTCCTTTGTCCACTGGTCAACTGTTACTTTATTGTTTACCAAAACCTGCAGTTTTCAGAAAACATCTCCAAAGATGCTTCAAGAAAAACACACTTCTTCTCTCCCATTTTGGCTGAACTTGTTAGTAAGTGGAAAGATAGGAAGACCAGATAATTGTCCTGTAGCTAAACCAAGCTAGTATCATTTTAAGTTAACCAGAAGATGAAGTTAGATCTCGTCATCATTTATCATGCAATTTGCATTACATGGGTGTTCAACTATTTTCTTCTAATGATGTCTTGGAGGTTTATTAACAAATTCTGTGTTTCTAGAAAACTTTTCAGATTTTTCAGATTTTCCAAATATCTTAGCAAAACTAGCAAAAGTTTCTCCAACTTTACATTGCAAAAAGTTCATCAATATCAAAATTACAAATCATGGTTCTTCCTTACTATTAGAAAATAAAAATCTATTCAAGTATTCAAGGACCTTACTAACACCTTTAGATTCTAGGTTGAACAGTTCCTTGACATGGTTTTAGAGCATGTTTGACCAAGTGGTCTAGTGTTCAATCCTTATCGCTCCCTTTATAATTAATTAAATTTTAGCACAAGATATGAGTGTGCCTATGCTTGTTCATGCTTGAAGCCCAATTGGCCTTCGCATGAGGGGGCATGTTAGAAAATGGAAACCTATTTAGAGACCTCACCTAACAGCTTAAGCTTTTAGGTTGAATGGTTCCTTGACACTTACCACAAAATCATTTAGAATATATAAAATATATATATTTTTTTAACTTTGAATTTTATTAAACATTAAGAAAAAATTGACATAAATTATTCTTGGATCAATGTGTTTAATAGATAATTAATAGATCCATATTATAGTACTTTTCTAAAGTGAGAATCATTTATAACATGCAAAAATTATTTTTATAATTTTCATACTTTCCAATTTTTTTTTTGGAGAAAATCCATAGATCTAATAAGTTTGGATAACTGGTGTAATTGGATATATGCTGGTGGTTCAAACTGTCTGGACAACCTATAAAAACTATTAAAAAGTTTGGATGAATATTGAATAGTAATTCATTCATCAAAGGTAATTCTATACCAAACTGGTCCAGGAGGAAGAAGATATGTTTTTCCCTGCACATTTAATCTGGTGCAAACACAGCCCATCAAAGGTGTCTTTTTTCTTCTGGACTGCCTATTTAAATTAGATTCCCACAAGAGACAACTTGGTTAATAGGGGTGTGGTGATTGACTCTAAAAGGTGTGTCTTGTGCAACAATGATGAGGAGTCTGTTGATAACCTGTTTCTTCACTGTGGCTTCACCCACAAAATTTGGGTGAGGATTCTCAGAATTTTTGCAATCAGAAGTTGCTGGCCAAAGTCTTTGGCGACTTTTGTCAACAGCTGGAATTTACAAGGCCTAAGCAAGAAAGGGAAATGGTTATTGCATCTGATTCCAGGTGCAGTGTTATGGGTGATCTGGCAAGAAAGAAATTCAAGGATATTTCAAATTAAAAGCTGTCAAGAAGACGAAATGTGGCAGAAGATCGTGGGGAAGCTCTGTTCTTGGTCATCGACTAACTTTAAAGTTGACATTTCTTTTTGTAGCTCTCTGTTTAATTTTGAAAGTCTGTTTGTATCCCCAATGGTTTTGTGGTTTGAATCTATTCTTGTATCTCATTTGTACAGCCTCTGGTTGTACTTTTCTTTTTGAATGAATTGATACTATACTTCTTATAAAAAAAAAAGTAATTCATTCATCTATGCTGGTGATCAGATACTTTTAGCGGAAGTCATGACTGCCGCCATAAGTCCTCAATGGCACAAAGTCATTCCACCTATTCCGTGTTCCCATGTCTTAGATAAATATATGATATAGGTCCTGAACGGCACGGAATCATTCCACCCTTGCCATGTGTGCATGCCTTAAATACTACAGCTGATGGTTTAGCTAAATTGGGCACCTTTAGGGAAATTCTGTACAGTGAAAGAAATCTGTCTCTGTAATTTCTTTTTGCTGGTTTTGCTGTACAGCTGTAGTATGTACATCTCCTCATGTACCTTTCTTTTTATTAATACAATCAGTTAACTCTTATTTCAATATATATCTATATATATAATACGCCCTATATCAGGCATATTGTGTCAATATTTTGAACCTCAGATTGTTTTGCAAAAGATAAGAAATGTTTATAGAGGAAGCACTAGGAATATTTTGAACAATATGCTTCTTTCTTGATCAGATCAATTTTACCATCTTTATTTCCTTCTAAATACAATAATTTGGGAGATCCAACTTGTTTCTTTATTATACAAAAAAAGAAAAAAACTTGTTTCTTTCTTCTTTCCTTTTATTATCTTTCTTGTCTTCCTACTTACTATTTATTTGATTGGGTGGATTTGATCTATTATACATTGCTAATCATGTCTTACTACCATGATCAGATTTATATTCTATCTTCACATGGTGCACCATTTATGGTCTTCAATGAAACTTTTGTCTATTCTTGCTTGTTGCTTCCATTAGGAACTCGGTTGGAAACAATGATGGAATGTTCCCTTCTCCACTGAAACATTTTAGCATGCTGCATGCATGATATGGAAAGCATTGGATGTCCCTTTCTCATTCTAATCCATCTTTGTTTCCTTGTCAAGAATTTATTGACTGACTTAAAGACGTTTGGAAGTAACATAATATTCTCAAATGGGCTATTGGATCCTTGGAGTGGTGGCGGGTGAGCTTTCTTCCAGATGTAATGCCTTGATAAAATGTTCTCACAGATTCTTCATCTAACAATTGATAGCTGTTGATATTATCTGTTACAGCGTTCTTCAGAATGTGTCTGAAACTATCACTGCTCTTGTTACAAAAGAAGGTAATGTTCCACAAGAATTTTGCTTTCATCCCTTTGCTTCTTCTTGTAGATCTTTGGGTTTTCATCCCAGATCCCACTAGCTGTATTGTTGGATGCAAATAATTGGCTCAACAGTTGCTAAATCATCTTTTATTCACATCTCTAACATCCTTTCTAAATGATATCTTTTATAAAGAAAAGTGATGACACAACAAACCATTAATTTGCATCAGCTTCAGATCCTCCAATCCATGCTTAAACCAGCTGAATGTATTGGTGTTTTCAAATTTCAATATATTACCCTATACACAATTTCCTTATCTGTTATCTTACTTGTATGTGGTTTGTGAGTTTATCATAGCCATTTGTATGGAATGAGTAATGAATGAAGCCAATTTACCTAGGGTCCATTTGGTTCATGGACAGGATTGGAATCGGAATCGATATCCTTAGGAATCGGAATCAAAATCACCTATTCCTGACGCCTATTTGGTTCATTTGGAGTTGGAATCTGAATCAATTGAAAAATTTCAATTTTGTATTAGTCTATTTATTATTTTATTATTACTTTATTAATACTTTATGAATATATGAATATTTTATTACTATTTTATTATTTTCTTATTAGTTTATTAATATTATATTATTTTGTTTTATTATTTTAAAATTAATTTATTATTATTTAATAATTAATATGTTAGTATTTTATTATTACTTAATTATTTTATATTAATATTTTATTTGTACTTAATTAAAACTTTAGTAATATTTGTATTATATTTATTAATAATTTTATATTTTATTATTTAATTATTAATTTTTTATTATTATTTCATGATTTTTTTGTTAATATTGTATTATTATTACTTTAATTATATTGTATTAATATTTTATTTATACTTTATTATTATTATCTGTGTTTTTTATTATTAATTTATTAATATTTTATTATAATATTATTATTTTATTATTATTTTACTAATATTTTATTAATATTCAGGTTTGGGGGATTTTTGTCCCGAGTTCTTTACTTATGACAAAATGTGGAATGGGAATCCCATTCACTAGGGGGAAGCCTAGAAGGCTAGAATGGCCATTCCAACAAAATAAATGGTTGGAAATGAAATAGGCCATTCTGATTCTGATTCTAGGCACCTATTCTAGGGGTGATCATGGGCTGGGTAGGAATGGTCTTTCACACTTATAAAAGGGGCATAGTATAGTTCAGGCCTGGGCCCAACACAACCCATACTAGGCTTATAGGCCTAGAATATTAAACATTATAATGTTTTATTTTATATTAAATTAATAATTAGTTTACCATAAATCAGTCACTAAAGAGGAATATAATGGAATGCATAAACTAGCAAAGATGAGAGAAAGGAAAGGCAGAAATTTAAACCATGTTAGATGCATTAAAGATGAAGATCAAAGAGTCTTGGTAAAAAATAAGGAAATCAAACAAATATGGAAAAACTATTTTGAAAAATTATTAAATGTACAACTGGGAGAGGGTGTTAATGGAAGAGAAGCTAGCAATACTAACAGTGTTAAAAATAATACATACCTTTGTAGAGTTAGACCTACTGAAGTAAAAAAAAAAGGTACTAAGTAAGATGAAGGGAAAGGTGTTAGGACCTGATGAGATTCCAATAGAAGTGTGGAAAGGTATGGGAGAGGTATGTGCTTTATGGCTAACTAAGCTATTTAATAAGATAGTAAAAGAAAAGAGGATGCTTGATGATTGGAGAAATAGTAGTATAGTGCCTATATTTAAGAACAAAGGTGATAAACAAAGTTGTATTAACTATTGAGGGATTAAACTCATGAGCTACACTTTAAAACTTTGGGAGAGACTAATTGAACAAAGATTACGACTTGAAAGAAGTGTATCAGAGAACCAATTTATGTCAGGGGGATCAACCACGAAAGCTATATTTCTTTTGAGACGATTGATAGAAAAGTTTAGAGAGAAAGAGAAAGATCTTCATATGGTGTTCATTGATCTAGAAAGGGCTTATGATAGAATTCCTAGAGAGATAATATGGTGGGTATTGGAAAATAAAAGGGGTTCAAAATAGGTATATAGACCGAATTAAGGATATGTACAAGGGGGCAACAACCAATGTTAGAACACCAGTGGTAGAGATTTCAGATTTTACAGTTACAATGGAACTTCACCAAGGTTTAGCACTTAGCCTTTATCTATTTGCATTGATCATAGATGAATTGACTAAACATATTCAGGAAGAAGTTCCATGGTCCATGTTGCTTGCAAATGACATTGTTTTAATTGGTGAAACTAATGAAGGATTAGATGAAAAATTAAGCTTATGGACAAATGCCCTAGAAACAAGAGGTTTTAAAATAAGTTGGACTAAAACAGAGTATATGACATGTAATTCTTTTTGAAACAGGTAAAGTATGTCATGTAATTCTTTTTGAAACAGGAAAGTATATGCCACGTAAATTTAGTAGTAATAGGAGTGTAAATTAGGATACACTCAGGATTGGAGACCAAGAGATAATTCAATGTGACCATTTTTAGTACCTTGGTTCAATAATTCATAACAAGGGAGAGATTGAGGAAGATGTTACCCAAAGAATTAGAGCAGGTTGGGAAAAATGGAGGGAGTGTATTTGGACTTTTGTTTTGATAGGAGAATACCACTTTCATTAAAAGGAAAATTCTATAAAACAGTTGTAAGGCCAGCTGTGTTCTATGAAGCAAGTGTTGGGCAGTCAAGAAGCAACATGTTCAGAAAATGAGTGGTAGAAATGAGAATGCTAAGATGGTTTGGTCATCCCTAGAAACGATAGGATTAGGAATGAAGTCATCCCTAGAAACTTAGGGGTAGCTCCAATAAGCGATAAAATGAGAGAGAGTAGACTAAGATGGTTTGGTCATGTGCATAGAAGATTACCAACAGCTCCAGTTAAAAGAAGTGATTTGTTACAAGTGGAAGGGGCTAGAAGAGCTAGGGGTAGACCAAAATGGACATGGGTAGAAGTAGTAAGAAATGATTTAAGCACTAATAGTTTAACAGTGGATATGGCTTTAAATAGAATAGATTGGTGAAATAGAATTCGTGTAGCCAAACCCCCGTATAGTTGGGATAAGGCATGGATGATGATGATGATGATGATGATGATATTATTTATATTAAAACTTAAAATACTATAACTTAAAATATTATATATAAAATATATTTATATATTTTAGGCCAAGTCCGGCTTGAAATGGTAACCCCTATGTTGTTCCATCCAAGCAGATTTTTTTTGTTTGTTCAGGGAATGGTTAAACGAAATTATCCAATATTATGGTTATTTTGGAGAAGTAATTTGTTGTATCTTTTTTATTTATTATATTTTGATATGTAATATTCATTTTGTTTTATATTCATCCTATTATTACCCTTACCTACCGTTCTTCTATTTCCTTGGGGGGAAGGGGGGTTGAGATGGCTAAGTGGGTAGCAGTTGGTTTTTAGAACGCTGAAGACCTGTTTTGTTCTTGCCTGCAACTTGGGTTGAGCCAATCCAAACAAATTATTTATTTATTTATTTATCAATAAAGAATGAATTCATTAAGATCAGATAAGAGTTACAGGAAATGGGTAGCCTTGGGTACCCCATTAGAAATTAAATCAAATTACAACTTTGATTTTTCAGCCTTACAACTGAGCCCAGAAACAAAATTCCCTATTAGCCCCTTGTTTAGCTAACTGGTCTGCAAATCTATTTGCTGCTCTTGGAGTCCATTGAAATGACAGCTGCATGTGCTTGGATATGCTTTTAACCTTCTTGATTTCGTTTCTGAATAACCAGGTTTTTTTTTTTTTTCATTTTGCTTCAGCCAGCCTATAACCACCTTAGAATCACCTTCTACAACTAGCTTCCTCACCCCCATCTCCATTGCTTTTTGTATCCCATAGGCCACTGCCTTTAGTTCAGCTGTAGTAGAACCTCCCACTCCAATAGGGCTCGTGTACATCCCCACTACAATCCCCTTGTCATTCCTTAACACACTCCAATTCCAGACCTTCCTGGGTTACCAAAACTACTTCCATCAAAATTTAATTTGAGAAAGCCTGAATTGGGGGGTCCCAATCCCTCAGAACCTGTTCTCCAATTCCTAATTATGTCATCCCCACTGAAATCTGAGAACAGTCCCAGAGATTTTACCCGCGAGGTCACCATTATCATAATCCTATCTACCAGCACCCAAAGCACTGCTGCCCTTGTGCATCTCCACAATGCTCTCCCTCTTTTTTTTGGCCAGCTGAAGGTAGAGGAGTCAAATAGCCTATCCAAACTCATTGGGGGATTCCAACTGCAACCAAAAAGATTGACTAACCAAATCCAAACGCTGTTAGCAACAGGACAGGAGATGAGAATATGAAAAGCAGTCTCACCACTCGATTCCACAAACAACACCAATTAGGTGAAAGACACCAGCCATGTCTCTTCCTCTGCATCAGATCACAGGTGCTGATTGCACCATGGTAGACCTCCCAAGAGAAAGCACCCACTTTAAGGGAATAGGGTGACACCAAACTTCTTTCACTGGAAAGGGTACCCTAGGTACATTCAGAGCAGACAAGGATTTGAAGAAGGAAACACAACTGAAGACTCCAGATGGATGAAGGGTCCAAAGCCTAGTGTCTTGCTTATAAGTGTCTAGAAACACCTCATCAAGTAGCTGGAGAGAAGACAATGAAGCCAATTCAGAGTCCCTCATATTTCTGCAAAGGCCCAAATTCCAAGCAATACCAGACAGAGAGGGGGAAGGGGCTAAAAATTCAGCAACCGGCTTGCCTTTGAGGGAGGAAAGGGCAAAAATCATGGGGAACATTGTTCTTAAGGAGGACTCACCCACCCGCACATCTTCCCAAAAATTGATTTTGTTACCTGAATTGAGGTCAAACCTTACATGATTGAGCACCAAAGGTAGAAGCTTGTGAATCACTTTCCAAGGTGAGGCACTGGATACCCTGCTAAATACTCCAGCATCCCAACTG